GAGGAGTGAGGGGTGACGCAGTGGTTAGCCCGGCTACGAACCCAGATACCCTCCACTCCCCCGCCCCCAAGTTCAATTCCTGCTCGTGGCCATCAACATCGGTGATGGATCTTTCCCAGTGGCCCGTCGAAGGTGCCACGGTGGCTATGAGATGTTAACTACCTCGCCAGGTATACAGGAGATCGTGGGTTCGATCCCGACCCTGACACCTGCTGCTGTGTATTTGGAGTCTATGCGTCTCTCTCATCATCATCATCACGGTGGCTAGGAGATGTTAACTACCTCTCCTGGTATACAGGAGGTCGTGGGTTCGATCCCGACCCTGACGCCTGCTGCTGTGTATTTGGAGTTTGTGTGTGTCTCTCTCTCATCATCATCACGGTGGCTAGGAGATGTTAACTACCTCGCCTGGTATACAAGGAGATCGTGGGTTCGATCCCGACCCTGACGACTGCTGCTGTATATTTAGAGTTTGCGTGTCTCTCTCTCATCATCATCACGGTGGCTAGGAGATGTTAACTACCTCGCCTGGTATACAGGAGGTCGTGGGTTCGATCCCGACCCTGACGCCTGCTGCTGTATATTTGGAGTTTGCGTGTCTCTCTCTCTCATCATCATCACGGTGGCTATGAGATGTTAACTACCTCGCCTGCTATACAGGAGGACTCCTGCTGCTGTATATTTGCATGTTCTTCCCGTGGTCACCTGGATTTTTCTCTGGGCCCTCGGGTTTTCCCCTCCACATTTAGAATGAACATCACGCGTTCGGAGTATTTGGCTGCGATACATTTCCACGTGACGACAAGCCGCTTCGTTGAGCTATCATTTGTGGCCAGGTTGCTTCTGATGATTGAAAGCTGTATAGCTCAGTGGGGGCTTACGTGGTAAAATAAAGCATAGTTTATAGCAGTCGACATGGGAGGTCTGTGTCTGTGTCGCGTGTCTGTGTCGCGTGGCAGTACGGCTTTGCTCCCAAGGGCTCCTCCGTCGTCCTCTACTCGTCCCCGGTCATCCGACACTTCCAGTATTTCGTGGCCCCCGATTGGATGGGGGGGATCTACGCGTCGCCCAGCATCGCGGGGTCGCGACCCGGCGCCATCATGGCCGCTACGTGGGCCGCCATGGTGCATCATGGGAGGTCGGGATACGTGGAGGCGACTCGCAAGATTGTCACCACGGCGAGGCTGCTGGGCGAGCGGTGAGCGAGCTGGGCTGCGTCACTCGCCGCTCACCACTCGCCGCTCACCACCCATTACTCACCACTCACCGCTCATCACCTACCGCTCACCACTCGCCGCTCACCACCCATTACTCACCGCTCACCGCTCATCACTCACCCCTCATCACCTACCGCTCACCACTCGGCACTAATCACTCACCATTTACCACTCACCACTCGCCGCTCACCACTCACCACTCATTACTCACCGCTCATCACTCACCACTCACCGCTCACTGCTCATCACCTACCGCTCACCACTCATCACTCACCACTCATCACTCACCACTCATCATTCACCACTCGCCGTCACTATGGCGAGGCTGCTGGGCAAGTGGTGAGCGAGCTGGGCTGTATCACTCACCACTCATCACTCACCACTCATCATTCACCACTCATCACTTACCACTCACCACTCATCACTCGCCGTCACTATGGCGAGGCTGCTGGGCAAGTGGTGAGCGAGCTGGGCTGTATCACTCACCACTCATCACTCACCACTCATCACTCACCACTCATCACTTACCACTCACCACTCATCACTCACCACTCCTCACTCACCACTCATCACTCACCACTCATCACTCACCACTCACCGCTCACCACTCATCACTCACCACTCATCACTTACTGTCACCAAGGCTCAGCTGCTGGGCAAGCGGTGAGTGAGGTAGCATCCACCGCTTATCACCATTTCAGTTCAGTTTGAGCCCACGACTAAATATCTGAACTGGATCTGGGCATCTCCCCTAGGTCGACTCGGCCTTAAATGATTACAGGACGTGGGGCATTGTAAACATTGGAAGACAAAGGCGGCCGGCCATGGTTCTGTGCGCCAATGCCGGCCTTCATCGGCGCTGCTAATCGCCAAGACAGCACTTGCCCCAACAGTGTGTGAGAGGCTACGCGGGGGACCTTTGTCTTTGTGCAGCCTGCGCACGGTGCCTGGGCTCTACGTGTTCGGGGAGCCACTCGTCTCCGTCGTGGCTGTCGGCTCGCGTGACTTTGACATCTTCCGCCTGTCGGACGCGCTGATGGTGCGAGGATGGCACCTCAACACTCTGCAGTTCCCCTCCAGGTACACACACACAGACTCGAACACACACACACCCAGCACCCTGCAGTTCTCCTCCAGGTACACACACACAGACTCCAACACACACACACAGCACCCTGCAGTTCCACTCCAGGTACACACACACAGATTCGAACACGCACACACAGCACCCTGCAGTTCCACTCCAGGTACACACACACACAGACTCGAACACACACACACACAGCACCCTGCAGTTCCACTCCAGGTACACACACATGCAGCAGGTACACACACACACACAGCACCCTGCAGGTACACACACACAGCACGTATGCACACTTGCGCACACACACAGCACCCTGGAGTTCCCCTCCAAGTACACATACACGCAGCCTGTACACACACACACACACAGCCTGTACACACACACGCAGCCTGTACACACACACGCAGCCTGTACACACACACGCAGCCTGTACACACACACGCAGCCTGTACACACACACACACAGCCTGTACACACACACGCAGCCTGTACACACACACACACAGCCTGTACACACACACGCAGCCTGTACACACACACACAGCCTGTACACACACACGCAGCCTGTACACACACACGCAGCCTGTACACACACACGCAGCCTGTACACACACACGCAGCCTGTACACACACACGCAGCCTGTACACACACACGCAGCCTGTACACACACACGCAGCCTGTACACACACACGCAGCCTGTACACACACACACAGCCTGTACACACACACACAGCCTGTACACACACGCAGCCTGTACACACACACACAGCCTGTACACACACACGCAGCCTGTACACACACACGCAGCCTGTACACACGCAGCCTGTACACACACACACAGCCTGTACACACACACGCAGCCTGTACACACACACGCAGCCTGTACACACGCAGCCTGTACACACACACACAGCCTGTACACACACACGCAGCCTGTACACACACACGCAGCCTGTACACACACACGCAGCCTGTACACACACGCAGCCTGTACACACACACAGCCTGTACACACACACACAGCCTGTACACACACACGCAGCCTGTACACACACGCAGCCTGTACACACGCAGCCTGTACACACACACGCAGCCTGTACACACACACGCAGCCTGTACACACACACGCAGCCTGTACACACACACGCAGCCTGTACACACACACGCAGCCTGTACACACACGCAGCCTGTACACACACACAGCCTGTACACACACACGCAGCCTGTACACACACACGCAGCCTGTACACACACACGCAACCTGTACACACACGCAGCCTGTACACACACACAGCCTGTACACACACACGCAGCCTGTACACACACGCAGCCTGTACACACGCAGCCTGTACACACACGTATACTCACACCCTTCTTCAAATGGCACGGTTGGCTACATATGATCCAAAAGAAGTTTAACATACAACGTTGAAGATACATACATGTTGCTGTGACCACATTACACACGGACGGACAGATGGATGGACGGAGGGACTGAGTGACAGACGGACAGGCGGATGGGCAGACGGATGTGTAGTGGATTCAACCGAGTCGCAGACTTTCTCTTTGGAGGCAACACGTACTTATTATCCACTGGCACACAACACAGAAGGGTTACTGCCCTTCCACCAGACAACCTACGGTGGTGGTGGACCACCAGGCTAACTACGCTAATACACGGGCAGAGTTTAGCTATCACGGACGAGACCCAGGTTTGGGTCCTCGTGTTGGTGACTTCTTGTTGGACGAGGTAGAACGTAGATCGTAGATCTTCAGGCGACGGTAGCAACGCTGAGCCCCGGTCCCTGTGGGGACCCCACTGATCTGCTCCCAGGCCGTGGCCGGTCCCGCCCTTGGCTGCTACGCCCACCGTGGAGAGAGCAAGCGCTCTCTCTCTCTCGACCTTTCTCGTCGGATCTTACCCAGTCACGTGAGCAACCCCTAGCCCCCACATGGGGCCTCTGGGTAGATCTTGTTTGTCACGTGACTTCCAAGGTCAACCAGAGTGCCATGGTCCAAGGTAACCTCTACCAGAGGTCGCAAACGGTTTTGATTCCTTACCCGTACTCGTACCCGGCCGCACCAGGGTCGCAAACGGGTACCCGTACCCGTACCCGTACCCGGTAAGGGTACGGGTAGGGTACGGGTAGCCGGGTATCGGGTAGGGTACGGGTACCCGATTGCGACCTCTGGGATGAAGCCATGTTGCAGGCGCGGGTGGGTTGATTCTAGGAACTTGAATTGTGAGAAGAGACAAGACGTTGGGAAATGAGTGACAAACGGTTACTCACCAGTGACTCACGGCCTACCCGTACCCGTACCCGGCCGCACCAGGGTCGCAAATGGGTACCTGTATCCGTACCCGGCTGGGTATGGGTAGCCGGGTATCGGGTAGGGTACGGGTATCGGGTACCCGATTGTGACCTCTGACCTCTACCCCTGGCTGACACACTCTCACTCCCTTCGGTAGGAGTCGACACTGCACGCCACGCGTGGTGCCACTGAGCGCTATCCCAGCGCTCACCGCGCCGCCTCTAGGGCTGGTACTACACCCACCTACGGGGTGTCCGCGATGACAATCCATCGCATGCCGTGCCCCTCTCGGGCCGGCATCGTGCAGTGACATCCGCGATGTCACTGCAGATGGATAGACAGGCAAAGTTATGGACGGATAGATGGATGGGCAAATGGACTGATGGACAGATGGACAGACCAACAGACGGATGAAGTGACGAACAGACGGACAGATGGTTGACGGACAGGCGGACGTACGTACGTACGGACAATGCTGAGTTGTTTCCCGCAGCATCCACATCGCGGTGACGCTGCTGCACACGCGCCCCGGCGTTGCTGAGAAGCTGCTGGATGACATCACGAGCTGCGTGGCCGAGATCATGCTCACCCCGACCGCCAAGACCACGGGCAAGGTGCGTCCTCCACTACCGCCACCAGCAGCACCACCAGCACTACTGCCACCAGCACCACAACCATTACTACCATCATTAGTACCACCATTACTACCACCATCATCATCATTACTACCACCAGCACCACCATCACTACTGCCACCACCAGCACCATCACTACTACCACCAGCACCACCACCATTACTACCATCATTAGTACCACCATTACTACCACCATCATCATCATTACTACCACCAGCACCACCATCACTACTGCCACCACCAGCACCATCACTATTGCCACCAGCACCACCACCATTACTACCATCATTAGTACCACCATTACTACCACCATCATCATCATTACTACCACCAGCACCACCATCACTACTGCCACCACCAGCACCATCACTATTGCCACCAGCACCACCACCATTACTACCATCATTAGTACCACCATTACTACCACCATCATCATCATTACTACCACCAGCACCACCATCACTACGACCACTGCTATCGCTACCACCACTGCCACCACCACCGCCACCATCGCTACCACCACCACCATTACCTCCAGCATCACCGTCACTCACACTGGCATCACCACCATCACCAGCTCTACCACAACACACACACCACCACCAGCGGTTAGTGCACTGCTCTACGAACCCGGCAACCCAAGTTTTATTCCCGCTCATGGCCAACACCAGTGACGATTACCTGAACCGGTCTTGGGCCTCTCCTAGGTCGACTCAGCCTCAAATGAGTACCTGGTGCAGTGTGTAAACATTAACGCTCGGGCGACAAAGGCGGCCGGGCGTGGTGCTGGTTACCCACCCCCTCGTGTGCCGTTCTGGCCTTCATAGGTGCTCCTCGCTAACAGCACTTGCCCCACCAGTGTGTTAATGGCTACGCGGGGGATCTTTGTCTCTGTGCCCAGGGAGCGATCTACGGGATGGCCCAGTCGATCCCGGACCGCTCGCTCATCACCGAGATCACGCACGGCTTCCTCGACTGCATGTTCTCCACCCGCCTGCCCGAGCCTTCCCAGCGTCTCCACAACTCTCCCGGCACTCAGTGACACACCCAGTGACACACTCAGTGACACACCCAGTGACACACCCAGTGACACACCCAGTGACACGACCAGTGACACACAGTGACACACTCAGTGACACACCCAGTGACACACCCAGTGACACGACCAGTGATACGACCAGTGACACACCCAGTGACACACCCAGTGACACACTCAGTGACACACCCAGTGACACACCCAGTGACACACTCAGTGACACACCCAGTGACACACCCAGTGACATGCCCAGTGACACACTCAGTGACACAACCAGTGACACACTCAGTGACACACCCAGTGACACACCCAGTGACACTCAGTGACACACTCAGTGACACACCCAGTGACACTCTCAGTGACACACCCAGTGACAGTGACACACCCAGTGACACACCCAGTGACAGTGACACACCCAGTGACACACCCAGTGACACACCCAGCAATGACACACCCAGTGACACACCCAGTGACACACCCAGTGACACCGACACTCAATGGCACACCCAGTGACAGTGACCCACACAGGGACTCGGTGATACACTCATTGACACAGTGATACATTTCATTGACACAGTGACAATCAGTGACACACCCGTTGACGCACAGCATTAAACGCACAACATACGGCGCACGACATGGGGCACGCAACATGAAACTCTCAACGCGGGACACAACGCGGGACACGAGAGGAAACTTGACTCACCCCTACTTGACTGCGGGTGAATGTGGGGGGCTGTGGGTGAATGTGGGGGGCTGTGGGCGAAGGTGGGGGCCACTGTAACCACTTTGTATGTGGGAATGGAACCACTGATCAGGTGAATTGGTCTTGGCGTCAGTGTGGGGGCCATTTGGGAGGGCAGGAACCCCCCCCCCCCCTTTTCATGGTACGTGTCGCTGTGACATTTGACCTTTAAACGATTAACCCCCTGCGCTGCTGCCCCCCTGCTCTGCTGCTTGAATGAAAACCCTCGCGACCCCGACCCCGACCCGCTGATCTTTATTCCTAAACCCCTCTCCTCTTTATCCATGACCCCTAATCCGTGACCCCGAACCCTGACCGGTAAACCCCTATCTCAATGACCATTAAACCCCCATCCCTATTCAACCCCTGTCTGACCCCCTTAGCCCCTAGTACTTATTTTAACGTTTATGTCACGATGGAACCACAAGGCTTGATTTTGTGTTTTGTAATTACAGCTCGTTTCTCAATGCACAGGAGCGTGGCGTGTCCGTGTGTCCACGTGTGCCTCTCTGTGTGTGTGGTACGATGGGCGTGAGTCGGAGAAAGTGGAGAAGTATCCATACCTGGGTTTGGCAGCAGAGGTCTCACTCCGAATCAGTCGGGCGGCATTACCTCTTCGTCAGCTGTATGTATGTTTGTTGAAGGTTCTTTCAAAACATACGTAGCCAACCATGCTAATCGCAGGTGCGGGGGAAGGACCACAAAGTAAACACAAAAAGATGCATAACGCTGTATGGAAGCTTCCTGGCCTGTTGCTCCACACGAAGTTTCGGGTATTTTCAGCCAGTAATGCCCTCCCTCCCTTTGTGAAACATGGATTCCTCTGATAGAATACCTGCACCACTTTGAAACATTTATCCATAATCCAGGTTTTTTAGGTTACATCCCGTAAATATAAATGTGTCGTTAAACCCGCCACCACCCGACACAGCCAATAAGTAAAGTTTGTCACGTAAACAGAACGTGCCAAATCGTTACTAATACAGCACCACCGGTGTTTTGGAGAGCAAATCTAAATTTCCATTTGGAGTACGACGTTTTGCCAGTAATTACAACGAGCATCATCAGGCGGACAGCCTGATGATTCAGGCTAGCCTACCAATGATCCATCCTGGTTTGAACCAGACTGGATTGTGTGAGGTGCTTGCAAATCCTTGAAAGATCTGGGCACAGTCCCATCACGGAGCTGCTCCAGCAGGCGAGACTGCGTTGGCTGGGTCATGTAGCCCGCATGTCCAGGCATCGCATGTCCAGGCATCGCATGCCCAAACAGCTTTCTTTTGGCCGGATAGAGGGGGCTAAACGGACACAGAATGAATGGGCTAGAGAAGAGATGGGCTGATGTGGTACAGAAGCATGTGGGGCTGAGTGGACTTGCCGATGACTGGTAGCGGTCATCGGCAAGTGGAGGAGGCTCGTGAAGGATGCTCATGGACAGATGGTGCATCTGCCATTCATCTCGGTCAACCCATGGCACCTGGGTCTGTCCTGTGAGCTGCTAGCGAGCCTTTGACACCTCACGTAACCTCGGTGCACCTAACCCGGCACAAGCGCTGTGGTGACATCACCGTCGCTTAGTGCCGGATGGCGGTTGATATATGTGTTGTGTATGGTGTGTGTATGGCATGGGTAGGGTGTGGTGTGGTGTATGTGGTGTATTCTTGCCTGCTGTCCCCAAGAAGAGACCTCAGAAAGCCGCAGAACGTTTACGCTCAAGTGACTGATCTTTATTACAAAAAACCCAACAACTCTTATCATAAAAATAACTTTCCATGGGGCATGGGGGGAGCTCATGATGGGCACGGGGGGGGGGGTGCTCGTGATGTGTGTGACGTGCCACGCGTGGAGCATGCCGTGCGGTGCTACGCTGCTCGCTACGCGTGGTGCTCGTGGAGGAGTTGCGGCGTCGCAGCCACGTGGAAGTGCGTGGCCCTGCGCGCCGTCATGCGGCGCAGCGTGGTGAAGGCGAGCGCCAGTTGCGTGGCCAGCAGCACAGCGAGCACGGACAGCACCCCGACCTGAGCCCCGTGCAGAGGTGGCACCCTGTCCCTGTCGCCCAGCAGCAGCAGCAGCTGCAGCAGCAGCAGCGGCGTCTGCAGCAGCAGGGACAGCAGCCAGAAGCCAGCCAGCTCGGGCACCTACACACACAGCACACCACACCACGGGGTGAGCACCTACACACACAGCACACCACACCACGGGGTGAGCACCTCACCACTCACACACAGGACACCACTCACAGCACACCACCCCACGGGGGAGCACCTCACCACTCACAGCACATCACACCACGTGGTGAGCACCTCACCACTCACAGCACATCACACCACTCACAGCACATCACACCACGGGGTGAGCACCTACACACACAGCACACCACCCCACACCACGGGGTGAGCACCTACACACACAGTACACACCACCACGGGATGAGCACCTCACCACTCACTCACAGCACACCACACCACGGGGTGAGCACCTACACACACAGTACACCACACCACGGGGTGAGCACCTCACCACTCACTCACAGCACACCACACCACGGGGTGAGCACCTACACACACAGTACACACCACCACGGGGTGAGCACCTCACCGCTCACTCACAGCACACCACACCACGGGGTGAGCACCTACACACACAGTACACCACACCACGGGGTGAGCACCTCACCACTCAGCACACCACATGGTGAGCTTCCGAGACACACACACACAGCACACACCAACACCACCCCACGGGGTGAGTACCTCGCACACCTCACACCACACTCTCATGCAACACTCTCAAGCGGTGCAGGAATGTGCTGGTGTGTGACTGCGACGCTATGCCAGCACTTCTCAGAACGAGAAGCAGGGCGAAGCATGAGGAAATAGGAGTATGCAGAGGGAAGCAGAAGGAAGCAGCAGCAGCTGGGAGAAGTGACTGGGAGGAGCAGGAGGAAGCGGCAGCAGCAGCAGGGAGAAGTGGCTGGGAGGAGCAGGAGGAAGCGGCAGCAGCAGCAGGGAGAAGTGGCTGGGAGGAGCAGGAGGAAGCAGCAGCAGCAGCAGGGAGAAGTAGCTGGGAGGAGCAGGAGGAAGCAGCAGCAGCAGCAGGGAGAAGTGGCTGGGAGGAGCAGGAGGAAGCGGCAGCAGCAGGGAGAAGTGGCTGGGAGGAGCAGGAGGAAGCAGCAGCAGCAGCAGGGAGAAGTGGCTGGGAGGAGCAGAAGGAAGCAGCAGCAGCAGGGAGAAGTGGCTGGGAGGAGCAGGAGGAAGCGGCAGCAGCAGCTGGGAGAAGTAGCTGGGAGGACCAGGAGGAAGCAGCAGCAGCAGCAGGGAGAAGTGGCTGGGAGGAGCAGGAGGAAGCGGCAGCAGCAGCAGGGAGAAGTAGCTGGGAGGAGCAGGAGGAAGCAGCAGCAGCAGCAGGGAGAAGTGGCTGGGAGGAGCAGGAGGAAGCGGCAGCAGCAGCAGGGAGAAGTGGCTGGGAGGAGCAGAAGGAAGCAGCAGCAGCAGGGAGAAGTGGCTGGGAGGAGCAGGAGGAAGCGGCAGCAGCAGCAGGGAGAAGTAGCTGGGAGGAGCAGGAGGAAGCAGCAGCAGCAGCAGGGAGAAGTGACTGGGAGGAGCAGGGGGAAGCAGCAGCAGCAGCAGGGAGAAGTGGCTGGGAGGAGCAGGAGGAAGCAGCAGCAGCAGCAGCAGCTGGGAGAAGTGGCTGGGAGGAGCAGGAGGAAGCGGCAGCAGCAGCAGGGAGAAGTGGCTGGGAGGAGCAGGAGGAAGCGGCAGCAGCAGCAGGGAGAAGTGACTGGGAGGAGCAGGAGGAAGCGGCAGCAGCAGCAGGGAGAAGTGGCTGGGAGGAGCAGGAGGAAGCGGCAGCAGCAGCAGGGAGAAGTGACTGGGAGGAGCAGGAGGAAGCGGCAGCAGCAGCAGGGAGAAGTGGCTGGGAGAAGCAGGAGGAAGCAGCAGCAGCAGCAGGGAGAAGTGGCTGGGAGGAGCAGGAGGAAGCAGCAGCAGCAGCAGGGAGAAGTGACTGGGAGAAGCAGGAGGAAGCAGCAGCAGCAGCAGGGAGAAGTGGCTGAGAGGAGCAGGAGGAAGCAGCAGCAGCAGCAGGGAGAAGTGACTGGGAGGAGCAGAAGGAAGCAGCAGCAGCAGCAGGGAGAAGTGACTGGGAGGAGCAGGAGGAAGCAGCAGCAGCAGCAGGGAGAAGTGGCTGGGAGGAGCAGAAGGAAGCAGCAGCAGCAGCAGGGAGAAGTGGCTGGGAGGAGCAGAAGGAAGCAGCAGCAGCAGCAGGGAGAAGTGGCTGGGAGGAGCAGGAGGAAGCAGCAGCAGCAGCAGGGAGAAGTGGCTGGGAGGAGCAGAAGGAAGCAGCAGCAGCAGGGAGAAGTGGCTGGGAGGAGCAGGAGGAAGCGGCAGCAGCAGCAGGGAGAAGTGGCTGGGAGGAGCAGGAGGAAGCAGCAGCAGCAGCAGGGAGAAGTGGCTGGGAGGAGCAGGAGGAAGCAGCAGCAGCAGGGAGAAGTGGCTGGGAGGAGCAGGAGGAAGCGGCAGCAGCAGCAGGGAGAAGTGGCTGGGAGGAGCAGGAGGAAGCAGCAGCAGCAGGGAGAAGTGGCTGGGAGGAGCAGGAGGAAGCAGCAGCAGCAGGGAGAAGTGGCTGGGAGGAGCAGAAGGAAGCAGCAGCAGCAGCAGGGAGAAGTGGCTGGGAGGAGCAGAAGGAAGCAGCAGCAGCAGGGAGAAGTGGCTGGGAGGAGCAGGAGGAAGTGGCAGCAGCAGCTGGGAGAAGTAGCTGGGAGGAGCAGGAGGAAGCGGCAGCAGCAGCTGGGAGAAGTGGCTGGGAGGAGCAGGAGGAAGCGGCAGCAGCAGCAGGGAGAAGTGGCTGGGAGGAGCAGAAGGAAGCGGCAGCAGCAGCTGGGAGAAGTGGCTGGGAGGAGCAGGAGGAAGCGGCAGCAGCAGCTGGGAGAAGTGGCTGGGAGGAGCAGGAGGAAGCGGCAGCAGCAGCTGGGAGAAGTGGCTGGGAGGAGCAGGAGGAAGCGGCAGCAGCAGCAGGGAGAAGTGGCTGGGAGGAGCAGGAGGAAGCGGCAGCAGCAGCAGGGAGAAGTGGCTGGGAGGAGCAGGAGGAAGCGGCAGCAGCAGCAGGGAGAAGTGGCTGGGAGGAGCAGGAGGAAGCGGCAGCAGCAGCTGGGAGAAGTGGCTGGGAGGAGCAGGAGGAAGCGGCAGCAGCAGCAGGGAGAAGTGGCTGGGAGGAGCAGGAGGAAGCGGCAGCAGCAGCTGGGAGAAGTGGCTGGGAGGAGCAGGAGGAAGCAGCAGCAGCAGGGAGAAGTGGCTGGGAGGAGCAGGAGGAAGCGGCAGCAGCAGCAGGGAGAAGTGGCTGGGAGGAGCAGGAGGAAGCGGCAGCAGCAGCTGGGAGAAGTGGCTGGGAGGAGCAGGAGGAAGCGGCAGCAGCAGGGAGAAGTGGCTGGGAGGAGCAGGAGGAAGCGGCAGCAGCAGCAGGGAGAAGTGGCTGGGAGGAGCAGGAGGAAGCGGCAGCAGCAGCTGGGAGAAGTGGCTGGGAGGAGCAGGAGGAAGCAGCAGCAGCAGCTGGGAGAAGTGGCTGGGAGGAGCAGGAGGAAGCAGCAGCAGCAGGGAGAAGTGGCTGGGAGGAGCAGGAGGAAGCAGCAGCAGCAGCAGGGAGAAGTGGCTGGGAGGAGCAGGAGGAAGCGGCAGCAGCAGCAGGGAGAAGTGGCTGGGATTAGCAGGAGGAAGCAGCAGCAGCAGCAGGGAGAAGTGGCTGGGAGGAGCAGGAGGAAGCAGCAGCAGCAGCAGGGAGAAGTGACTGGGAGGAGCAGGAGGAAGCAGCAGCAGCAGGGAGAAGTGGCTGGGAGGAGCAGGAGGAAGCGGCAGCAGCAGCAGGGAGAAGTGGCTGGGAGGAGCAGGAGGAAGCAGCAGCAGCAGCAGGGAGAAGTGACTGGGAGGAGCAGGAGGAAGCAGCAGCAGCAGCAGGGAGAAGTGGCTGGGAGGAGCAGGAGGAAGCAGCAGCAGCAGCAGGGAGAAGTGGCTGGGAGGAGCAGGAGGAAGCGGCAGCAGTAGCAGGGAGAAGTGGCTGGGAGGAGCAGGAGGAAGCGGCAGCAGCAGCAGGGAGAAGTGGCTGGGAGGAGCAGGAGGAAGCAGCAGCAGCAGCTGGGAGAAGTAGCTGGGTGAAACAGGAGGAAGCGGGGAGGAATTGGAAGCAGGTAGCGGCAGGGAGGAGCAGCGGGTACCTTCTCGCCCAGGTTGCCGGCGTAGCCCAGGTAGAGGCGGCTCATCTCGATGACGGCCATGAAGACAAGCACCGTGGTGAGCACCACACAGTAGTGCGTGGCCATGTAGGGGTACTGTACACACACACACACACACAAAGGTTCCCCCGTGTGTAGCCTTAGCTGGCTGTTGGGGCGAGTGCAGTTAGCGAGCACCGCTAATGGTCATTACGTTGTTCATTGTGGTAATAATTCCCCGTCGTGGGAGGCATCGCTGATAGTCCAAACCAATCGCAGCGGAAGAAGTATCGCAGGCTGGAACAAACCGATTTAACCGCACGAAGATGTGGCGCATCACATCGACAAACGCTCTCGGCCTAGATGCAGACCACCAGCTCGAGAGAACTGAACAAGTTGCAAACATTGGTGACTGTACTGATGAGTCATAATTACGTTAAACCTATCAACAATTGTCCGATGCACTGCTGCCTGTTGTTGAGATGGCCACGTGTTCTCATCTCGTGAGTCGGCGGTTCGGAACGACATTACCACGCTTCCAGTTCCGTTGAGCTGGTGGTCTGGATAAGGCCGAGCTAGAGCCGTTGCATATGCAACAGAGGTCGCAAACGGGTTTTGATTCCTTACCCGTACCCGGCCGCACCAGGGTCGCAAACGGGTACCCGTACCCGGCCGTACCCGTACCTGATTGCGACCTCTGGGATGAAGCCATGTTGCAGGCGCGGGTGGGTTGATTCTAGGAACTTGAATTGTGAGAAGAGACAAGACGTTGGGAAATGAGTGACAACTGGTTACTCACCAGTGACTCACGGCCTACCCGTACCCGTACCCGGCCACATCAGGGTCGCAAACGGGTACCCGTACCCGGGTATCAGGTAGGGTATGGGTATCGGGTACCCGGTTGCGACCTCTGATATGCAATGCTGCGCAGACGCATGTGCGCGTTGAATCTGTTGCCAATGAGTGCCAATGTGTGTGGCGATGATCGTGCCATGCCTATGACGGTGTCGGTTGTGAATTTGATGGCTGCGATTGTGTCGGGTGCTGGACGGTGTCGGTGTCTGTGATGCCATCACCTTGGTAGCCAGCATCACGGCCTCCGAGGTCACCCAACACGGGTAATAGAACGCGTTGAGGTAGAGCGACATCTGCAGGGGCAGGCTGCTCACGACCACCGTGCCTGGGCAAGGGCGGCACGGCACACACCACATCACGTAGAGCTCGAGCTAAGGAATGTGGCTACTCAGTCACAATATTCGGTGATAATTTGAGCGCTGGGACATGAGAAACACATGTTGTCTGAATCTGGTCTTAAATCATGAACTGCGGCAAGTTGTCCAGTGCCTCACAAAGCCCCGCTGTAGCGAAGTAACGACATTAGTGTATCAGGTGGGGCCTCAATGCTGTACAGTATTGTGATTTATCTCGCAAGGTCGCACCTTGAGGCTATTATACATCGCGGCTCCTCTTGACTGACCGCATCATTGTTACGCTCGCGGTCCAGAACGTGTAACGCTTTAGGCGCGCTCCGTCTTCGCAAAATGCAGCCCCTCCAGCTCCGTAGTTGTACCTCTGTGCAATATAATTGACGCGTATGGGATGAAATCAATGTCTACGTGAAATATATTTTTTATGAATTTGAACCGCGTTTTAAATACGTGCTTGTCAATGGGGCCGCAGCTTTCGCCACCAGGGGGTCAAGGCGCCACCAGGGGGTCAAGGCACCCCCTGCCCCCACGCAAGTGACGCTACTGGGGCCCCCCACAATGATCTGCGGATGTGAGAATTGAGCGCCCCACGGGGCATTCTCCGTGAACCTCTGAGCGGACCTGACATCACCACCACCACCATAATCATCACTTCAGCCACAGCCATCAACTGTCCACCACTAACAACACCATCACCCACGCACCACCACTACATCTACGCCACCGTTATGAGATGCACTGCCCTTATAATCCTAAAATGACGGTAACTTTAACACGTAGGCTTTCGCGACCAATATTATTCATAATATAGGTGTTTGGGTCAGATCGCGTTATTTATAAATGTGTCGTAACCCTCCACCACCCGACACGGCCAAACAGTAAAACATGCTGTTGAATCTTTCTCCAACGCACCGGTGGGCTACATAAGTGAATTATTTTGTCCTTTGAAAAACGTGACACTTTTTTTTTTACTGTTTGGCCGTGTCGGGTGGTGGAGGGTTACGACACATTTATAAATAACGCGATCTGACCCAAAACCCTGTATTACGAATGACGGTAACTCTCCACGCGCCACACAGGGTCCTCGCCCAGTATCCAGCCCGAGCCCGGCGCGCCTGAGCGGGCATCGCCAGTAGGCCGCAGGGGGTTGGGACGGGAGTGTGGGCTCGCAGCTGGGCAGCTCACACACCCCGGGCCGCGTCGCTCTCTGCACCTCTCCGCAATTTCCCGTCTCCCATTGCTCCCACCGACAGCGCAAAGCGGATCGGGGGATTAAATCCCACGGGGAAGAGACATCAACCGTGACCCCCCCCCCCACCCCCCTGCAGCCTAGTGACGCTGCCCAGGGAGTCGAAGGCATCCCGGTAGGAAATCTAGGCGAGGCGGGTGAGGCAGGAGGCGGGCGAGGGAATGAGAGAACGCCGTCTGGTTACCGGCACGCTCCGGCGATGCGATCTCCCTGCCGCTGAACACCGCGTGGCTGAACGAGGTGAGGCGCTCCCGGACCCGGCCTGGTAACGGCGAGTACGGGATTCCCGCATTCGCGGCCATGGCGGGATGCCCCGCGCCGCCGAGCCGACGCGCGGCGTCACCGTGGCGACGAGGGGGCCTCGAGCGGCCGCGATTATCGCGATACTCAAACGCTGGCGCGATAGGGCGATTATCGCGATATGGCGATTATCGCGATATTGCTATTATCGCGTTGTCGGTTTGCCACGAGATCGGTCGTACGTTGAACTCCGATTTAAAGCTTTACCTCAGGGGTGTCCAAACTTTTTGCAAAGAGGGCCACATTTGATAAAGTGAAGATGCCCGGGGGCCAATAGTTCCTTCTGACATTGTTTTAACCACAAAAGTTACGTGGAAATACACACCGTTATAAAAAAAATCATTGTCACAATTACCTTTATTTTTCAAATGACAATGTAACCAAATATGAGCCACTCAGGCAGACGTGAACAACTCTAAAAACGCAATTCTGCCTTTCATTCAGTCAGATAACATTGAACAAACTGTATAGAATACCTTAAATTTCCATGAGTTTTATGATGTATTTATGCTGACAGAGCTAGCGAGCCATAAATAACACATTATAAGACCGAAGCTGCGGGCCGTATGAAATCTGCCCGCGGGCCGTGCTTAGGACATGCCTGCTTTACCTGAACCGGTCGTCCTGGGCCTCCCCTAGGTCGACTCAACCTCAAATGAGCCCCCGGTGCTTTGTGTAAAAAATATCGCCACGAGGGAGACAAAGGCGGCCGGGAGTGGTGCTGGTCACCCACCCCCTCCCGTGCCGTGCCGGCCTTCACAGGTGCAAACAGCACTTGCCCCACCGGTGTGTTGAAGGCTACGCGGGGGATCTTTGTCTCTGTGCCGTGGTGCCGATGGTCGTCGTTGGGGAGTTTGGTAGCGGATGGTTGGAATTCCAGGGCGGGCAGTGGTGATGTCCACGGTGGTGGTGGCTGTGGTGGTGGTTGTGTTGGTGGTTGTGGTGTTGGTGGTGGTGGTTGTGTTGGTGGTTGTGGTGGTGGTGATGTCCACGGTGGTGGTGGTGGTGTTGGTGGTTGTGTTGGTGGTTGTGTTGGTGGTTGTGGTGGTGGTGATGTCCACGGTGGTGGTTGTGTTGGTGGTGATTGTGGTGGTGGTGGTGGTGGTTGTGTTGGTGGTTGTGGTGATGTTCACGGTGGTGGTGGTGTTGGTGGTTGTGGTGTTGGTGGTTGTGTTGGTGGTTGTGGTGGTGGTGATGTCCACGGTGGTGGTGGTTGTGGTGGTTGTGTTGGTGGTTGTGGTGGTGGTGATGGTGGTTGTGGTGTTGGTTGTGTTGGTGGTTGTGATGGTGGTGATGTCCACGGTGGTGGTTGTGGTGATGTCCACGGTGGTGGTGGTGGTTTTGGTGTTGGTGGTTGTGGTGGTGGTGATGTCCACGGTGGTGGTGGTTGTGGTGTTGGTGGTTGTGTTGGTGGTGGTTGTGTTGGTGGTTGTGGTGGTGGTGATATCCACGGTGGTGGTTGTGGTGGTTGTGTTGGTGGTGGTTGTGGTTGTACGAGTGGTTGGTGACCGTGGTGTGTGCACCACCTGCTCCATCAACGTGCTTGCTCACAGCACTTGTCCCTCAACAGTCGGTTCAGGCTGTACGGGGGACCTTTGAGAAGCTGTGTACGGTACTGTGTGTTAAACACTTGAACCACCCCCCCCCCCTCTCGTACAACTCGCCACGAAGTTGAGCTCGACAGCAGGGCTTGTGGTTACAGTTTATTGAAACACGAGGCGCGAGATGCCATCGCAACAGCGCTCACAGCCGCATGCAGCTGCTCGGGGCGATGGTGACATCAGACGCGTGCGATGGTGATATGTGATGGTGAAGGGGAGGATGGTACGGTGGGTTTACGGTGGTGGGTATATGTGATGATGGGTATGTGGTGATGGTGGTGGGTATGTGGTGATGGTGATGGTGGTGGGGATGTGGTGATGGTGGTGGGTATGTGGTGATGGTGGTGGGGATGTGATGGTGGTGGTGGGTATGTGGTGATGGTGGGTTACGTGACGATGGTGGGTATGTGATGATGGTGGTGGGGATGTGGTGATGGTGGTGGGGATGTGATGGTGGGTATGTGATGGTGGTGGGTATGTGATGGTGTTGGGTGATGTGATGATGGTGGTGGTGATGGTGGTTGTGGCGGTGGGTTCAGTGATGCAGGTGCGACATTCGCAGCGTGCTGTTGTGGCTGTGTCTCGCCTGATTGCCTCGAAGAGCGCGGGGATGGTGGTGGTGGTGATGGAGGTCCAAGTGGACACGATGACCATGGTGGGGATGGCCGTAGTTGTGGTAATGAAGATCAAAGTGGGGAAGATCGTGGTGGTGGAGATTGTGGTGGTGAACATTATGGTGGTGGAGATTGTGGTGGTGGAGATCGTGGCGATGACCATGGTGAAGATGACCCTGGTGCAGATCATGGTGGTAATAATGGTTGCGGTTATGGACAGCGTGGTGATGATCGACGTGGAAATCTTGGAAGCGGCCGTGGGAATGCCAGTGCGGGTAGTGGTGATGCCCGCGGTGGTGGTCGTGGTTGTACGCGTGGTGGTGGTCGTGCACCGCTACGGGGGAGTAGTGGTTGTGCGGGAGCGGTGGCGCCGAATAGTCGTGGTGGTTGTGGTGGTGGTCAAAGTGGCTGTGGCGGTGGTCAAGGTGGTAGACGTGGCTTATTGAATGGCGCCTGCGGCTAGGGGCGCACGTCTTCTTGCAGTCGATAGGAGAGAAATGTCGGCACAAATCATCGTGGTGGTGGTGGTGGTGGTGGGGGCTGATGTGGTGGTGATGCTCGGAATGGTGGTGGTGGTGGCGGCGCAGGTCCGTCAGGGAGTGGTGGCGGTGCACGACGGTGGGCCCGTCGCGGGGCTCGCTGCGACCCCGCTCCGCGCACTGCGCCGACGCATTGACCGCGACGTGGTCGCGGTCAATGGCCGAGTAGTGATGGCACAGGTCGTCGTGGTGGTGGTGGTGGTGGTGGTGGAGCTGCTCCTGCTTGTTCTGCTGGTGGTGGTGGTGGATCCGCCCCGGCTCGTCCTGGCTGTGACTCCTCGGTAGGAGGCCCTCGCGCACCCCCTCGTCCACGTGGAAGCAGTCGGGGAAGCTGTCGCAGCGGCTCAGCGGCGGCGGCAGAGACGAGTGCGGATAGCCGTCCACCATCACCACCACGGGGGGGCCACCGTACGCCCCGCCGCCCGCAGCGGGGGTGGTGAAGAAGTCATGGGGATGCTCCATGGCGGAGCGCGGATGGCCGAACTCGTTCCACGCCACGGCGGCGCCCGTCGCCTGATGACGATGCCGATGCCTCGGGGACGGCGGCGGCGGTGACAGCGCCGGCTCCATGCCGCCGCTGGCCTGGTTGTAGCTGGGCAGCCTCAGAGTGAGCTGCACCACGGAGCGGCCGTGAGGTGGGTACGGGGGGCCCGGGGGCAGCGGTTGGGACGGCGGTTGGGTTGCTGGTGGGGCCGGCGGTTGGGTTGGTGGTGGGGTTGGCGGTTGGGTTGATGGAGGCAGTTGGGTTGGTGGTGGGGCCGGCGGTTGGGTTGGCGGTTGGGTTGATGGAGGCGGTTGGGTTGGTGGAGGCAGTTGGGTTGGTGGAGGCAGTTGGGTTGGAAGTTCTTCATTGGTCGGTGGCACTACCGGGAGTGGTTGAGGTGGTGGAAGTTCGTCGGTCGGTGGCACTACCGGGAGTGGTTGAGGTGGTGGAGGTGGTGGAAGTTCGTCGGTCGGTGGCACTACCGGGAGTGGTTGAGGTGGTGGTGGTGGAAGTTCGTCGGTCGGTGGCACTACCGGAAGTGGTTGAGGTGGTGGTGGTGGTGGAAGTTCGTCGGTCGGTGGCACTACCGGAAGTGGTTGAGGTGGTGGTGGTGGAAGTTCGTCGGTCGGTGGCACTACCGGGAGTGGTGGAGGTGGTGGAAGTTCGTCGGTCAGTGGCACTACCGGGAGTGGTTGAGGTGGTGGAGGTGGTGGAAGTTCGTCGGTCGGTGGGACGACGGGAAGTGGTTGCGTTGGTGGAAGTTCTTCATCGATCAGTGGGGCGACCGGGAGTGGTGGAGGAGGTGGTTGGGTTGGTGGAAGTTCTTCATCGTCCGCCATCCTGGAGGTTCAGTAGAGTTCCTGTGGGAACAGTTAACTTCGTTACCATCATTACCCCCGTTACTATAGTTATCAAGTTACCATCATCTTTGCACAAGCATTGAGATCCCGCCTCGGGAGCACAAATCCACATTCTCGCCCCTCCTCAACATCCCTCTTCCTCACCATCACTCTTAACCTCAACTCTACCCCCACCACTCACTCGCTCACTCCCACCACCTCACCCCCAGCTCCTCACCCTCAACTCCTCACCCCCAACTTCTCACCCCCAACTCCTCACCCCCAACTCCTCACCCCCACCACCTCACTCGCACCACCTGACCCCCAACTCCTCACCCCCAACTCCTCACCCCCAACTCCTCACCCCCAACTCCTCACCCCCAACTCCTCACCCCCAACTCCTCACCCCCAACTCCTCACCCCAACACCTCACCCCCAACACCTCACCCCCAACACCTCACCCCCAACACCTCACCCCCAACTCCTCACCCCCAACACCTCACCCCCAACTCCTCACCCCCAACTCCTCACTCCCAACTCCTCACCCCCAACACCTCACTCCCGCCACCTCACCCCCAACTCCTCACCCCCAACTCCTCACCCCAAACTCCTCACTCCCACCACCTCACCCCCAACTCCTACCCCCAACTCCTCACCCCCAACTCCTCACTCCCACCACCTCACCCCCAACTCCTCACCCCCACCACCTCACCCCCAACACCTCACCCCCACCACCTCACCCCCAACTCCTCACCCCCAACTCCTCACTCCCACCACCTCACCCCCAACTCCTCACCCCCACCACCTCACCCCCAACACCTCACTCCCACCACCTCACCCCCAACTCCTCACTCCCACCACCTCACCCTCAGCTCCTCACCCCCACTCACCCCCACCTCACCCCCAACTCCTCACCCCCAACTCCTCACCCCCCAACTCTCTCCCCAACTCCGCACCCCCACTACCTCCCCCAACTCCTCACCCCCAACTCCTCACCCCCAACTCCTCACCCCCAACTCCTCACCCCCAACTCCTCACCACCAACTCCTCACGCCCCACTCCTCACCCCCAACTCCTCACCCCCAACGCCTCACCCCCACCACTCACCCCCAACTCCTCACCCCCAACTCATCACCCCCAACACCTCACCCCCAACCCTCACCCCCACTCCTCACCCCACAACCTCACCCCCACCACCTCACCCCCAACTCCTCACCCCCCAACTCCTCACCCCCAACTCCTCACTCCCGCCACCATCACCCCCAACTCCTCACCCCCAACTCCTCACCCCCAACTCCCCACCCCCACCACCTCACCCCCAACTCCTCACCCCCAACTCCTCACCTCCTCACTGCACGACGGTGACAGGCAAAGCCCAGCGCCTTGGTTGAGTCACGCAATGGGGCGATGTGAGTGGACCCGGGGCTTGCCAGGTGCTATAGGCAGGCACGCAGGCAGCGGCAGAGCGAGGAGCAGGAGGAGGAGGCGGTGGTGGTGATGGAGGAGCAGCAGGAGGAGGAGGTGGAGGCGGTGGTGGTGATGGAGCAGGAGCAGGAGGAGCGGCAGGGGGTGTCGCACTTGCTCCGGTGGTCGAGGCGGTTGTGGCGACGGTTCGTGGCGTGGTCCGTTAACGGCCCCGGTCCTCACGAGAGCGGTCACGTGGCTCGCCCCTCCCCCACCCCCCGTCAGCCCCCCCCACCCTCCCCACCGTCAGCCCCCCCCACCCTCCCCCCCGTCAGCCCCCCCCACCCTCCCCCCCCGTCAGCCCCCCCCACCCTCCCCCCCGTCAGCCCCCCCCACCCTCCCCCCCCGTCAGCCCCCCCCACCCTCCCCCCCCGTCAGCCCCCCCCACCTCCCCCCCCGTCAGCCCCCCCCACCCTCCCCCCCGTCAGCCCCCCCCCCACCCTCCCCCCCGTCAGCCCCCCCCACCCTCCCCCCCCGTCAGCCCCCCCCCACCCTCCCCCCCGTCAGCCCCCCCCACCCTCCCCTCCGTCAGCCCCCCCCCACCCTCCCCTCCGTCAGCCCCCCCGTCAGCCCCCGTCAACCGTCAGCCCCTCCCTGTCAGTCAGCCCCCCCTCCCCCCCCACTTGTCAGCCCCCCTCACCCCGCACGTGGCCCACCCCCCACCGGCCCCCGAGGCCCAGCCCAGTGAACGTGCAACGGTGGTGGTTGGTGGTGGTTGGGCCAACGTTGGCATGTGGTGGTTGGCCCAACGTTGGGATGTGGTGGTTGGCCCAACGTTGGCATGTGGTGGTTGGTCAACGTTGGCATGTGGTGGTGGTGGCCCAACGTTGGCATGTGGTGGTTGGGCCAACGTTGGGATGTGGTGGTGGCCCAACGTTGGGATGTGGTGGTTGGTCAACGTTGGCATGTGGTGGTGGTGGCCCAACGTTGGGATGTGGTGGTTGGCCCAACGTTGGGATGTTCGTGGTTGGCCCAACGTTGGGATGTGGTGGTGGGGCCAACGTTGGGATGTGGTGGGGGCCCAACGTTCGGATATCGTGGTAGCCCAACGTTGGGATGTGGTGGGGGCCCAACGTTGGGATGTCGTGGTAGCCCAACGTTGGTATGTGGTGGGGGCCCAACGTTGGGATGTCGTGGTAGCCCAACGTTGGGATGTGGTGGGGGCCTAACGTTGGGATGTTGTGGTAGCCCAACGTTGGGATGTGGTGGGGGCCCAACGTTGGGATGTCGTGGTAGCCCAACGTTGGGATGTGGTGGGGGCCCAACGTTGGGATGTGGTGGTGGCCCAACGTTGGGATGTGGTGGTGGCCCAACGTTGGGATGTGGTGGTGGCCCAACGTTGGGATGTGGTGGTGGCCCAACGTGCCTCTTGAACTGGGCAGCTGCTGATCATCTTGATGATGATGATGACGTTGACAGTGATGATGATGATGTCCGTGGTAGTCATGTTTATGAAGATGATGTTGATAACGATGTTCACGATGATCGTTTCTTTACCAAGATGTTTGCAGTGATGATGGCAATACTTAAGAAGTTGATAGTGATGATGACATTGATTATATCGATGATGTTGATCGTTTGCATCATAAAAATCACTAAACGGCTTGTTCATGATCAACATTGTCATAATGAGCTAAACATGTCTCCCTAATGAATGGCAGTTATCATAATCACCACCACCACGAACAACATCGTAACTGTCATCACTATAAACATCTTCAGCATCATCATGTAAACACCAACATCGTTATCATCACTTGCTGGGGAAAGCTTATTGATCATGAGGATGATTGGCATTAAACGTATCAATAAAACACATCACTACAAAACATTATCTTCATTGTTTAACCGGTTCTAGCTCTCGCCTAGGTCGACTCAACCTCAAATGAGTACCTGGTGCGGTATGTAAACATCACCACTGGGGAGACAAAGGCGGTCAGGTGTGGTGCTGACCACCCATTCAGTGCCGGCCTTCATAGTTCCTCCTGGCGAACAGCACTTGCCCCAACAGTCTTGTGTGTGGCTAAACAAGGATCGTTGTCTGTAAATGTGTACATGGTATTGACCAACACTCCAGACGGCCAGCAACAAGCAGCACTCAGTAGTGTTCAAGGCTGCAGCACAGTGGTGAGATTCTGCGCTGCCTCTCACCGCAAAGGGTATGGGTTCATTTCCTGACTGCTACCTCTGTGTTTGGAGTTTGTGTGTTCTCCCCCTGTTCTGTAGAGTGTGTAGTTTGTGTGTTCTCCCCCTGTTCTGTAGAGTGTGTAGTTTGTGTGTTCTCTCCATGTTCTGTAGAGTGAGTGTGGAGGTTGTGTGTCCCCCCCCCCCCTGATCTGTAGAGAGTGGAGTTTGTGTGTTCTCCTGTTCTGTATCATTAGTGTGGAGTTTGTGTGTTCTCCCCCTGTTCTGTATCGTGAGAGTGGAGTTTGTGTGTTCTCTCCCTGTTCTGTAGAGTGAGTGTGGAGTTTGTGTGTTCTCTCCCTGTTCTGTCGCGTGAGAGTGGAGTTTGTGTGTTCTCTCCCTGTTCTGTAGAGTGTGGAGATTGTGTGTTCTCAAGAGTGTAGAGTTTGTGTTCTTTCCCTGTTCTGTAGCGCGAGTGTAGAGTTTGTGTGTTCTCGAGTGTGTAGAGTTTGTGTGTTTTGCCCCTGTTCTGTAGAGTGTGGAGATTGTGTTCTCCCCCTGTTCTGTAGAGTGTGGAGTTTGTGTGTTCTCCCCCTGTTCTGTAGAGTGTGTAGTGTGTGTTCCTCCCTGTACTGTAGACTGTGTAGTTTGTGTTCTCCCCCCGTTCTGTAGTGTGTGTAGTTTGTGTTCTCCCCCTGTTCTGTAGTGTGTGTTCTCCCCCTGTTCTGTAGACTGTGTGTAGAATTTATGTTCGCCTCATTCTCCGATTTCCTCCGACAGATGAACACATTCATTGAAACTGCTGCTGCCCAAACCACATCCCCAATGCTGAGAAATCTCCTTCAAATCACTCAATGGGAATCACGCAGCAGCAGCGACATCACCCCCCTACTGCTGTGACAAACGCCGCCATAAACGTACATTGCCCATTGGGTTAGATTGCACATTTACTTACATCGCATTGCCCATCGACTTATATTGCCCATGTGACTCGTAAAAAGCCTCATCTGTCCACACAATCCCCCCTCCATCTGTTTAACGATTTTGTAACTCGGTGCTGTAATTGTGCCCCGATCGGTCTCAACATCATCGGTCTGAGGCGACTCGCATTACAGGGGGGGTACCCCATGATTCAACACAGATGTGCGTGGGTGCGATCCGCTCCCTTCTCTCGCAATGTGACGACGCACTCGTTTTTGTGCCGATTGCTATTTGCATCATGGCCGTTGCTCGATTTTGTTTCGGTTTCGTCATTTTTTTCTGACCCCATTTCACTCTTGACAAATGATGTCTCCCTACCCACATTGGTAATATGGCCATCTATTTGTGCGTGTCTATGGGTGTGACTCTTGTGTTTGGCGATGGCCTCAAAGTGCACCTAGCCTGGCACAAGCACTGCGGCCACGTCACCGCCACTTAGTGGCGAAGGGCATCTGTTGCTGTGGGGAGGAGTAGGTGGCGCAGTGGTTAGCGCACTGCACGAAGAACGTGGGGAACCAGAGATTGATTCCCGGCCATGGGCAACATTAGTGGTGAATATGGAAACCGATGGTGGGCTTCCCCTAGGTCGACTCGGCCTTAAGCGAGTACCTGGTGCGGTGTGTAGTGAACATCAGAACTGGGGAGACAAAGGCCGCCGGGCATGGTTTTGACCACACCACCCCCTCGTGTGTGAGGTACCAGCACTTGCCTCAGCAGTCCATGTAGGCTACACGGGGGACCTTTGTGTTTGATTTCACCTGCACAATGAATGCCTCCGAACAACAAGCAACGTTTATTGGGTCGGGGGACAGAACTTACAAGGTTGAGTTGACATTGTGGGTCATAACCACCTGCACTGAGGTCAGAATTACATTGATGTCAGTTCAAGGGTCAACTCCAAGGGTTGAGGTCAGAAAGATCGAGTGGCAAAATTCCACGAGTTTGGGTCAGATCAAGGTTCGTTTTCAAAGTCCAACTGAAGTTGAATCAATAGATCAAGGCTCTCCGTGCCGAGATTAGAGCTCTTAGGATTGTTGTCAACAGGGCAGGGCGATAAGATTTGAGGTCAGGAGGTCAGGAGTGGTCATGGCTCAGAGTCAAGGTCACATGTCAAAGTCATAGGGGGTGGGGGGGGGGTCAGAATTCCCACATGGAGTCGATGTCGGGTTTGTCCCCCGTGGCGCTCAACCCCCCGTGGGCCTCCCCCTTCACGAGCGCCCCCCCCGGCGCCACCAGACACAGCCGGTGGGGGGCATGCAGCTGCACCACGAATGGGGAGGGGGGGCTTGGGCCCCCCAGCACCACCGCCGCATCCTCCGCACGCACCACCCAGCCCCCGTGGCCTCCCTCACCTGCGGAGGGGCGGGGGGGGGAGAAGCTTGTTAGGTGATCTGTGTGTGGTTCAAGTTCATGTATTCGGTATAGCCCCTGTGAGCCATTCGGCTCTTGAATCGGGTGCAACCGCAACAAACAAAAAACAAAAACATGAACAAGAAAACATCTTAAAGTGAATAAGTGACTAAGTGCAAACAGAAAATCCAAGAAAAGACAGCAAAATATTGCAGAAAAAAGCACCGTACACCAACGCTGTGTGCAAAAATCCCAGTGGGATGCAAGTCAAACAACAACAACAACCACAAGACAACTTAGATTAAGGCCATCAGTCTAACTCTGTACTACAACAAACAAACATGGCCAAACCAAAAAACTTTTCGAAATCACCAAAATAAAGCCATAAAAGCAATGAAACAGTGATCATAGGAACTGTGACCGAATTTTCACAATGTGTTGGACATATCGCCTTAACATGCACCTAGCCTGGCACGACAGCCGTGGTCACGTAACGGCCACCTAAGAGGGGCGAACGGCGGCTACAGTACGGTGTATGTACAGTGTGGGTGTGTAATGTATAAGCAGTATGTTAGTCTGTACAGTATGTGACTGTACAGTATACTGTATACAATGTGGGGTCCGGTGGTGTAGCGATGAATGCACTGCGTTATAAACCCGGTGACCCGAGTTCGATTCCCACCAATATGGGCAGGTTTCCCTCGCTCTGTGCGGGTTGAGTTCGTGCGATTTCGCGCTGTATATGCGGCGGACCTATGCAGGGCGCGAAAGAAGTTCAACATATAAACATCTATTCTAGATTTGAAGCTTTCGTGACTGCAAGGATTCATACTCTTAGTTCTTTCGGTAAAGTCACGTAGGTAAAAAATGAAATTAAAATTAATAAAAAATAAAAACAATAAAATCACGACGTTTCGGAGGCAACACAAGCTTCCGTCTTCAGGTGAAACTGTCACAGCAAAAAATCTGTATCAAGTGGAGAGAAGTCCCAAGAGGTACGACCTTGGGACTTCTCTCCACTTGATACAGATTTTTTTCTGTGACAGTTTCACCTTAAGACGGAAGCTTGTGTTGCCTCCGAAACGTCGTGATTTTATTGTTTTTATTTTTTATTAATTTTATTTCATTTTTTACCTACGTGACTTTACCGAAAGAACTAAGAGTATATAAACATCTACCCAACATCTGTTCTGCCAAGCAGTTTGAATTCACTCGGATGCTTCTATGCGGTCAGACGTGGGACAACATCGTGTGCACTGCACGCACTGCTCGACACGAAGCTGTCTCGTGCAATTTCGCTTTGTGCGCTGTTTTTGTTTGGAATGCATCTACCGCATGAAGCGAGAGAGACCTGTGTTTGGGTGGAGAGTGGCAGTTGCATCTTACCAGCCGAATGCCTTCGACGCAATCAAAACTCGGGACTGGTTTCGACATTGAGTGACTCATCAGCAGCAGAATCGGGTTTGCTTGAAGCAAATGCTGCTGAACTGTGTTTATAGGCAAGGGGCGAAGAGAAATCTGTGAGGAGGAGGTGGTAGGAGTGGTGAGTACCTGTGAGCAGGAGGTGGTAGGAGTGGTGAGTACCTGTGAGGAGCAGGTGGTAGGAGTGGTGAGTACCTGTGAGGAGGAGGTGGTAGGAGTGGTGAGTACCTGTGAGGAGGAGGTGATAGGAGTGGTGAGTACCTGTGAGGAGGAGGTGGTAGGAGTGGTGAGTACCTGTGAGGAGCAGGTGGTAGGAGTGGTGAGTACCTGTGAGGAGGGGGTGGTAGGAGTGGTGAGTACCTGTGAGGAGGGGGTGGTAGGAGTGGTGAGTACCTGTGAGGAGGGGGTGGTAGGAGTGGTGAGTACCTGTGAGGAGGGGGTGGTAGGAGTGGTGAGTACCTGTGAGGAGGAGGTGGTAGGAGTGGTGAGTACCTGTGAGGAGGGGGTGGTAGGAGTGGTGAGTACCTGTGAGGAGGAGGTGGTAGGAGTGGTGAGTACCTGTGAGGAGGGGGTGGTAGGAGTGGTGAGTACCTGTGAGGAGGAGGTGGTAGGAGTGGTGAGTACCTGTGAGGAGCAGGTGGTAGGAGTGGTGAGTACCTGTGAGGAGGGGGTGGTAGGAGTGGTGAGTACCTGTGAGGAGCAGGTGGTAGGAGTGGTGAGTACCTGTGAGGAGGAGGTGGTAGGAGTGGTGAGTACCTGTGAGGAGGGGGTGGTAGGAGTGGTGAGTACCTGTGAGGAGGGGGTGGTAGGAGTGGTGAGTACCTGTGAGGAGAGGTGGTAGGAGTGGTGAGTACCTGTGAGGAGCAGGTGGTAGGAGTGGTGAGTACCTGTGAGGAGGAGGGTGGTAGGAGTGGTGAGTACCTGTGAGGAGGAGGTGGTAGGAGTGGTGAGTACCTGTGAGGAGGAGGTGGTAGGAGTGGTGAGTACCTGTGAGGAGGGTGGTAGGAGTGGTGAGTACCTGTGAGAGCAGGTGTAGGAGTGGTGAGTACCCTGTGAGGAGGAGGTGGTAGGAGTGGTGAGTACCTGTGAGGAGGGGGTGGTAGGAGTGGTGAGTACCTGTGAGGAGGGGGTGGTAGGAGTGGTGAGTACCTGTGAGGAGCAGGTGGTAGGAGTGGTGAGTACCTGTGAGGAGCAGGTGGTAGGAGTGGTGAGTACCTGTGAGGAGGAGGTGGTAGGAGTGGTGAGTACCTGTGAGGAGGGGGTGGTAGGAGTGGTGAGTACCTGTGAGGAGGGGGTGGTAGGAGTGGTGAGTACCTGTGAGGAGCAGGTGGTAGGAGTGGTGAGTACCTGTGAGGAGCAGGTGGTAGGAGTGGTGAGTACCTGTGAGGAGGAGGTGGTAGGCCCCGTCTCCACAGGGCAGCAGTTGGAAGGCTGTGAAGTCGGCCTGGTCGCCCCGCAGGGTCCCCTCCCCTCCCCCTCCCTGACCCCCTCCCTGACCCCCTCCCTGACCCCCTCCCACCCCACCTCCCCCTCCCCCCTCAGGCCCCACGAACCCCCGGGGCCCCTGCAGGATGAGGCGCGGCCGGTTCTCCAAGCGCACCGTGAACAGCTCCTGTGGGCCTGGGGTGAGGGGCGAGTGACTGGGTGAGTGGTGAGTGGGTGAGTGGGTGGGTGAGTGGGTGAGTGGGTGGGTGAGTGGGTGGGTGAGTGGATTTGTGGTCGAGTGGGTCAAGTGGGTGGGTGAGTGGGTGGGTGAGTGGGTGGGTGAGTGGGTGAGTGGGTGAGTAGGTGGGTGGGTGAGTGGGTGAGTGGGTGGGTGAGTGACTGGGTGAGTGGATTTGTGGTCGAGTGGGTCAAGTGGGTGAGTGGGTGGGTGAGTGGGTGGGTGGATGAGTGAGTGGGTGGGTGAGTGGGTGAGTGGGTGGGTGAGTGGGTGGGTGACTGGGTGGGTGGGTGAGTGGGTGAGTGGGTGGGTGAGTGGGTGGATGTGTGGATTTGTGGTCGAGTGGGTCAAGTGGGTGGGTGAGTGGGTGGGTGAGTGGGTGAGCAGGTGGGTGGGTGAGCATGGGAGAGCAGGTGAGTCCATATGACCATTGTGTCAAGAGGCCGTGAATGGCATTGATGGCCCTGGGAGGGGCCTCGATCCAGCAGCGGATAGATACTGGCGGCTGCCGACGGCGGTGGTGGCGACGCTCACTTGGTAAGGTGGCTGAGGCCACGATCTGGCCGATGGGCCTCGTGGTGACGTAGAGGCCGGAGGGGGCTCGCAGCGACACGCAGGGCCCTCGCCACGTCACCGTGAAGCCGCAGCCTCCGTCACCGTCACGGACAACCACGTTACCACCCTCTACCTAGAAACACACATCACCACGCGCACGCCACCACCGCACACACCACCACACGCCGTCACGTGCACCAGGGTCACACGCACCAGGGATGTCATGTTACCATGCTCCACATGCCACTTTTCCAGGTATGGGTGCAGTGTGGGCGTGGTGTGGCGCGGGGTGTGGGTGCGGTGTGGCGTGGTGTGGTGTGGGTGCGGTGTGTGGGGGCGTTGTGGGTGTGGGTGTGGGTGTGGGTGGGTGTGGGTGCGGGTGTGGGTGCGGGGTGTGGGTGTGGCGTGGTGTGGGTGCGGTGTGTGGGGGCGGTGTGGGTGTGGGTGGGTGTGGGTGCGATGTGGGTGTGGGTGCGGGGTGGGTGTGGGGTGCCGTGTGCCCCATACCTGCATCACATGGAGCCCTTGGACGCTGCTCAGGTGAGCGACGTCACCGTCCACGCGGAGATGGAACAGGGATTGAGGCTCCACCTTGTTGCTCCGTGCGTACAGCTCCTCCCCTGCATGTGCGCGGGTACGCACATACATACACGAGTACACAGAGGCAAGTGCTGTTAGCAAGTAGGTGCGTGGCCAGCACCACTTCCTAGTGGCGATGTTTACACACCGCACTAGGTACCCATTTGAGTCGGCCTAGGGGAGGCCCAGGACCGGTTCAGATAATTGTCACTGGAGTTGGCCTTGTCTCCCCGTGTCTCCCCGTGCCTTCTCACCGTGAGCGATGGTCACCACGTGTCCCCTGTGTGTCCACAGAGACACCACGGCACCCGCACGTCTCGGCTCCAGCAGGGCGTCCCGTATGGCCTGGGATGAGCCGGCGCTCACAAGCAGACGTGGGCCCTGACACACGGAGTGACGCGCAAGGAAGACGCAGCGCAGGTGAGAGTCGGGTAGAGACACATGGAGACAGCGCAGATGAGAGACGGGGAGACACGTGGGGAGACACGGCACAGGTGAGACATGCAGGGAGACGCAACGCAGGTGAGAGTCGGGTAGAGACACATGGAGACAGCGCAGATGAGAGTCGGGGAGACACGTGGGGAGACACGGCGCAGGTGAGACATGCAGGGAGACGCAGCGCAGGTGAGAGTCGGGTAGAGACACATGGAGACAGCGCAGATGAGAGACGGGGAGACACGTGGGGAGACACGGCGCAGGTGAGACATGCAGGGAGACGCAGCACAGGTGAGAGACGGGGAGACACATGGAGACAGCGCAGGTGAGAGACGGGGAGACACGTGGGGAGACACGGCGCAGGTGAGACATGCAGGGAGACGCAGCACAGGTGAGAGACGGGGAGAGACACATGGAGACAGCGCAGGTGAGAGTCGGGGAGACACGTGGGGAGACACGGCGCAGGTGAGACATGCAGGGAGACGCAGCACAGGTGAGAGACGGGGAGACACATGGAGACAGCGCAGGTGAGAGTCGGGGAGACACGTGGGGAGACACGGCGCAGGTGAGAGACGGGGAGACACGCAGGACGACACAGGGACGTACTCCATTCATCACACTACCATCAGAGTTAATCTTCACCAATGGTATGGTGAAGATCCGGACTGTGCCCTCTGTTCCATGCCAGCCAACCTCAGGCACATTATCACAGGGTGTAAAACAAGCCTCACCCAAGGACGCTACACTTGGCGTCACAACCAAGTCCTTAAAAACCTTGCGTCTGCCCTGGAGGACAAGCGAGCTGCCACCAACTCCCTACCACCCCCAGCAGCATCACACCCCTTACGGACGACCTTTGTCCGCGAAGGGGCTAAACCACCGAAGAGCGGCTCTACACCAATAGAGCGAGACCAGCTGCGCTTGGCCCGCGACTGGAAAATGCTAGCTGACATTGGCCGGCAACTTGTGTTTCCTCCGGAGATCGCAACCACCACCCTAAGACCTGACATGGTGCTCTGGTCCCGTTCGCTCAAGAAGGTCTTCATCATTGAGCTCACAGTACCCTGGGAGGACTCAGTAGATGAGGCTTATGAGCGAAAACATCTGCGCTATGCCGATCTAGCTGCCGAAGCACGGCATCATGGCTGGAACACAGAAGTCCGACCAGTGGAGGTGGGCTGCAGAGGTTTTGTGGCAACATCTACAACCAGACTGCTTAGAGACCTGGGAATTAAGGGCCAGAGCCAGCGTTCGGCAATCAAAGCTGTATCGGAGGCGGCAGAAGGCAGCAGTCAGTGGCTCTGGATGAAGAGGAAAGACCCCAGCTAGGCCCCAAAGTGAGAGGGCCAGGAGGTATGCAGTCAACAATGCTTGACTCAGGGAGGAGGACGCCCCTGCCATGCATAGTCCCATGGGATGTTGGCTACCAACAACAAGGCAACTCCTATGACTAATTGGGAATGGGACGCAAGCGTAGGATTGATCACCCTGTCACTGGCCGCCTTTGGGGAGGGTGTATAGTATGAAAGGCCGAAACACCCTAGGAACCAAAGGGTCACTACTGACGATGCGCTCCCCAAATTTCACCAGGCTCACTGTTCATGAACTCTTGGAAGTGCTTGCACAAAGGATAGTAACATCTCATCCTGTGTTCTTTGGAATACAGGGGGTCTTGTACACACAACCCTCGGTAGTTGCGAGTTTGGATACATGTACCCTGTGGATGTACTCTGTGCGTGTACCCCGTGGGTACCTGTGGGTAGAGGAGGCGCCCGTGGGTGTCGCGCAGCGCCAGCACGCCGTGAGTGACGTGCACGGCACTGGCCACGCCGTCGGCGGCCACCGCGGAGCACGGGACGGCCCCACACGTCACGCACACTCCCGTGTCCGTCTCCACGTGGTAGCGCCCGCTCTGAAAGCAACGATCCCCAGTAGAGCATTTCATGGACTGTTGCGGCAAGTGCTGTTCAAGTGGGCATGTGGTTGAGCGTGTGTGGTTGAGTGAGTAGTGGTAGTGATTAGCGTGTTTTGCTACAAACGCATGGCCAACGCAAGTGATGATTATCTGAACCGGTCCTAGGCCCCTCCCCGAGCTTGACTCGGCCTCAAATGAGTACCTGGTGTGGCATGTAAACATCACCACTATGGAGACGTAGGTGGTCAGGCGTGGTGCTGGCCACCCACCCTCTTGCGTGCTGTGCCGGCCTTCATAGGTGCTCGCTAACAGCACTTCCCCCAATTGTCTACTCAGGCTATACGAGGGATCGTTGTGGTTAAGCGAGAATGTCAGCGTATGGCTGAGTGGGTGGACGAGTGTACGGTTAAGTGAGTGAGTGGCGGGCGGGCGGAGGGGCTCACCGAGAAGTGAACCGTGAAGACGCAGCCGGGGCTGTGTGGCACCGCGGCGTCCGCGTAGAGCAGGGCCCCCCGCGAGGTCGCTCCCGGCATCTCGGCGCGCACGAAGCTCCCCCACGCCCGGCTCCACAGCCACATGTGGGGGTGCAGCTCCACGTGGGGCCACCACGTGGTCACCTGCGGGACCCCCCCCCGCCCCACCGTACAGCACCCCCCCATCAACTCCGGTCTGTTTACAATGAAGCCCCCCTCCGGTAATCATCGCTCATCCCGATACCGCTCACCGCGTCGTTCACCGCTCACCCCGGCACCTCTGACCGGTGAGAAAGATCCGAATACAATTGGCGTCACGATTGTGCTGCTCTCGGCACACGAAGAAGGGTTCCCTCAGAACTCTCGCGGAGCAGTGCAACGCTCGCCGCTTTAACCCGCCACGGCGTTCTGTTCGCTCTCGTGAAAAGCGCTCATTCACCCTCCGATTTTGCCCCAGGGTGGCCACTGCCGCCCCCAACTTCCCAGTCGCCACAAAGTGCACCAGCATGGCACCACCCACTGGTGTCCTTCAGGAGCCTCCTCCTCTACAGAGGCTGATCTTGACACCACTGGTATGTATGTACGTTGAATTTCTTTCGCACCGTACATAGTCAACCGTGCTAATCGGACGTGCGGGGGAAGGACAACCAAACTCGACACAAAAAGCAGTTCTAAGGAAATGAAGGTATCAGTCATCAGCAAGGCCACTTAGCTCCTCTAGATCCTCTTGGAACTGGTCACAGGATACAGATTGCACTTGACACCTCCTTAGCACAGCCAGCCAACTCAAAGGGGTTTGGCTACTTCCTCCATCCTTTGAGGCTCCGCCGTCACTAGCAGGGCCCCCCGTGTTTACTTGATGTTCTTTGGGCTCAGGGGTTTACACCCCCCCCCCCCAAGACCTCACAATATGCTCTGCAAAACCTGCAGACTTGGTCCTGGGCTTCAAGGGTCGAATCACAATTCTTTCCCTTAAGGACAGTAATCGGTGTGACACTGCAAGTCACTTTTTTGATGTCAAGAGTGATTTGTGATCGCGAGCTGCCGAGGCAATTTCAGCCTCTCGTGCCCGCGCTTGTTCGAACCTCCGAGCGTTGGCTGCGGTAAGCGTCATAAATCTTCGACGTGGGATGTTGCAGATGACAATGGGCCTGCAGCTTACTTCCAGCTAGCTGGAACACCTCCTCCGTCAGCCAGGGTCTCTGCGGAGGTGTGGACCCTGTACCCAATGCAGCCATAACAGCATGAGCCGCAATCATGAACCTCATTTCCTCTTGGCGTCAGAAGGGAGTGGGGGGACAATGTCAACCCCAGCTGCAAGCGATGATCACATTCTCACTTGTAACCTTCATCATTGAGCCGAGACCAGGTTATTTCTGGTTTGGATGGGGTCGTAGGTGGATGCCCACCACCGCAGTGGAAGAATGGCAGGTGCATCGTACAGATGACAAGCCGATGGGTCAGTAGGGAAGCCCAGGACCGGGTCAGACATTTGTCACCGATGTTGGGCTTGAGCAAGAATTGAACTTGGGTCACCAGCGTCGTAGTGGTGTTCTGACTACCGCTCACTACAAAAACTGACTCGCATAAAGACAAAGATCCCCCGTATAGCCTTTATAGGCTCTAGGGGCAAGTGCTGTTAGCGAGCACCTGAAGGCCGTTATGGCACGCGAGGGGGTGGGTGGCCGGTACCACGCCCGCCCGCCCGCCCGTCTTTGTCGACCTAGGGGAGGCCCACGACCGGTTAGAATAATCGTCCCTGGTGTTGACCGTGAGCGGGAAGTGAACCTGGGTTGCCGGGTTCGTAGCGCAGCGTGGCGCTAATCGCTACACTACCCAGATAAACACACACACGGCTGGGTGTCCACTTTGGCAGCGATCGGTCACCCTGGTCAGCCTCTCACCGCAACCGCGTCGTCCACCCAGCCCCGTACTCACGCTCTGATTGGCCAGCCCGTCGCACGTCACCTCCCCACGCAGCCCGCCCGCCGCCAGGTAGCGCTCGTGGGCGACGGCGCGCAGCCGCCAGGCCCCGCGGGCGCCGACGGCCTCCACCGCCAACACCGTGCCGGCTCGGCGCTGAGCCGCGTCGCACGCCAGCCTCCCGCGCTCGTCCACGCGGGCGTACCCGCCCCGCGCCTCGCTCCTCAGCAGCGCCAGCGACGCGCCGCCGCCACCGCCGGCGCCGGCCTCCTCCACCCTGACCGCGTCCAGCCGCCAGCGCTGCTCGGGGCCCGTGCCGCGCGGCGCGGTGACGACGGCGCCACTCGAGGCCTCGCACGACAGGTAGCGCCCGCCCACGGACACGAGGCCCAGGCACAGCGAGGCGGCGCCGCCGCGGCCCCCCTCCTCGTCATCGTCGTCGCCGGCGCCATCGTCCAACACCGCCCCCCCCGCCTTCGCGTTGCCGCCGGGAGGCTGGTGGCCGCGGGGAACCAGCGGCGCCGCTAGCGCCATGCCGTCCGGCGCGCCGCAGTGTTGGTGACGAGGAGGGTCGTACGCGTGGCCGAATACGTAGGCCTCGTTGTAGAAGACGCTGCTGCTGTACTCGCCGCTCTCACAGCCGCCACCGCCGCCCGTCGCCACGGTGACCCGCGTTCCCGTCGCGCCGGGTTGCTCGCTCAGCAACCGCTTGAACTGGCGCCGCGTTGCCTCCGCTTCCTCCTCCTCCTCGTTGTTGTTGCGCGCTGGCGGTCGGGACTTTGGGAGGTCATCTCCGTCGCGGCGCACGGCCACGGCGACGCTGCGGCTCGCCATACCGGCGGCGGGGCCGGCGGCGGTGGTCGACGCTGCCCTGCGCGGCTCGGGGCCGTGCGGGGAGCGGGGAGGGGAGCGGCGCCGGCGCGGCCACCCCTCGCCGGCTTTTTCGCCGCCACCGTTGCCGTTGTCGGTCCTGTCGTCGTCGTCGGGGCAGGCGGTGCGGCGGCCACGGCCGAGTTGGGACTCGTCACCGAGCGCCCGCCCGCGGCTCCACGCGAAAGGGCGCTCGCCGTACCGAGGGGAGGCTCCCTCCCGGCTGCGGGGCTCGCGCGTCGGCCGCTCGTGACCGGCGGCGGCGGCGTCGTCGTCGTCGTCGTCGTCGCACGCCACTCCGAACCTATTCCGGCGGAGCTCCTCCAGGAGGGCGTCGGCGTCACCGTCCGGGCTCTGCCGGCGCCGTGCGTCCCTCCCCCCCCCCACCACGCTGCGAGCACGGCGGCGCAGCGCGACGGCGGTGGCAGTCACGCTGTCGCGGCGCCCTCCGGGGCGCGAGTCGTCGTCCGCCTCGCTGTCGTCCGACAAGAACGACTCCGCGCCGACGCTGCCCCCGCTGCTGCGGGCGCGTCGGTGGCTGCGCCTGAGGAGCCCCGCCCCGGCGTTATTTGTCGCCGCCGCTGCCGAGAAGGAGGAGGGGCAGTCGGGCCCCGGGTCCCCCTGGAGCGTCTTGAGCTCCTCGCGCCGGTCCTGGCGGCGGCGGATGAGCTCCATCACGTCGTGCATGCGCTGCGGGTTGCGCGACGGCCGCTCCCCTCCTTCCCCGGGGGTCCCCCGGCGGGACCTCGCGCCGTCTTCCTTCGGGAGCGCCATCAGCAGCGCCGTTGCCGCCGGCGGCCTGAACGCATCGCGAGTGTTGTTGTCGTCGCCGTCGGAGAACGGGCGCTGGCGCGAGAGGTCCCTGGGGCGGAGCTGGCGCCGCTCCAGGTTGCCGCCGCTGTCTGGTCTCGGCATCCTCCCGGTGTCGCGCCGGTACAGGGGCCGGCGGAGGCCCAGCACGTCTGCCGCGGAGGTGGAGCTGAGGGGATTGCCGCCACCGCGGTCGTTGTCGTGGCGGTCGTGGTCGTCGCGGTAACGGGGACGTGGGGACAGAGATCGGTCGCGAGGCTGCAGAGTTGGGAGGTCGCGGCGAGTGGAGAGGTCGCGGCGAGTGGAGAGGTCGTGGCGAGACGAGGAGAGGTCACGGTAAGCGGAGAGGTCGCGGGGAGGGTCGCGGTGTGAGGAGGGGAGGCCGCGGCGAGAGGAGGGGAGGTCGCGGCGAGCGGGGGGGTCGCATTGAGAGGAGGCGAGCTTGCGGGAAGCGCGAGGCATGGCGTCCCTGTTCGTCCACGTGATGTCACGCGTCAGACGGGAGAGCGGCATCCTTAGGAGACGGAGAAACAACATCGTCATCGGGAAGCGTTTCACCCCGTGGGCTATTCGAGGAAAGATTTCGATTTAAAGCTTTCGTGACTGCAGGGATTCATCTTCTTGGTTCTTTCGGTAAAGTCACGTAGAAGGGAAATAATAAAATAATAAAAATAAAACATAATAAAATTATTCTCACGACGTTTCGGCCACAACGAAAGTAGCCGTCCTCAGGTGAAGAACAGGTCTGTCGAGACAGACCTGTTCTCCAGACAGACCTGTTCTCCACGACGTTTTCTTGGTTCTTTCGGTAAAGTCACGTAGTAGGGACAGCCCTGTTCTTCACCTGAGGACGGCTGCTTGCGTTGTGGCCGAAACGTCGTGAGAATTATTTTATAATGTTTTATTTTTATTATTTTATTATTTCCATTCTACGTGACTTTACCGAAAGAACCAAGAAGATATTCGAGGAAAGGTCGTGGGCCACGGTTATGATTCTGGAATACTTCTACACCGAGCTGCTGCCGGTAGGATCTGTATCGCTGTCAATAACACGGCGTGGCCTTCAATGGAAACACAATAGGCGACGTTTCGGGCAATAGCCCTTCTTAATAGCACGCGTAAACGGTGCGACCCGCCATCAATCACCCAACACCATGCGCTGCTTGTACTGTACAGCTATGCTCCCTCACACGGTCCGCACCTTCACCACCACCGCCACCACCATCGCCGCCGCCACCACCAAACCAAGCCGCGATGGACCAGCGCGGTGAAGTATGGTCAAGTAGCCCCCCCCCACACACAATGGTGGGGGGGGGGGGGTTAGGCTCTCCTCATCCAGCAGTGGATTGTACAAATTGGCCGTGCGTGTGCGAGGCAATGTACACGTTCGAGATTTGAAGTTTTCGTGACTGCAAGGATCCATACTTTCGGTAAAGTCACGTAGGTGAAAAATATATATATAAGAATAAAATTAAAAATAAAATAACTAAATTAAATCACGACGTTTCGATTGCAACACATGTAATCATCATCAGGTGTGGAAATCACAGCTAGAAAATTGTTACTTTAGTAAAAAAAAATACTTTAGTAAAACATTTTAAATTATTAATTATTTTATTTTTTACTTTATTCTTATTTTATTTTATTATTCTTTTTTGACCTACGTGACTTTACCGAAAGAACCAAAGAGAATGTACACGTTGTTGTTGTTGTTGTTAAACATGTTGAAATTACCTGGGTCTCCGTATTTTCAGATGGCTCTGTGCTGGAAAGGGAGACAAAGTGATACCGGATTATAAGACGCACCTCCAACTATTGATTATCACCCGATAATGTTGTTGATGTATGTGGTTGTTGGTATAGTTGTGGGTATGGTTGTTGTTGTGGGTATGTTTGTTGTTAGTTGGTATGGTTGTTGTACGTGGGTATGGTTGTTGTTGTGATTGTATGGTTGTTGTTGTGATTGTTGTGGGTATGGTTGTTGTTGTGGGTATGGTTGTTGATATGATTGTTGTGGGTATGGTTGTTGTTGTGGGTATGGTTGTTGTTGTGATTGTTGTAAGTATGGTTATTGTTGTGGGTATGTTTGTTTGTTGTTGTGTTTGTTGTGATTGTTGTTAATGTAATTGTTGTTGTGGGTATGGTTGTTGTTGTGATTGTTGTGGGTATGGTTATTGTGGGTATGGTTGTTATGATTGTTGTGATTGTTGCGGTTATGGTTGTTGTTGTTGTGGGTATGGTTGTGGGTATGTTTGTTTGTTGTTGTTGTGATTGTTGTTAATGTAATTGTTGTTGTGGGTATGGTTGTGGGTATGTTTGTTTGTTGTTGTTGTGATTGTTGTTAATGTAATTGTTGTTGTGGGTATGGTTGTGGGTATGTTTGTTTGTTGTTGTTGTGATTGTTGTTAATGTAATTGTTGTTGTGGGTATGGTTGTTGTTGTGGGTATGGTTGTGGGTATGGTTGTTGTTGTGTTTGTTGTTGTTGTTGTCGATGTGGTTATCGGTGACCGCGTCCTCCTACCGTGCAGCGGGCGACGTCCCCGAACTAACGACGCCGGCGGCGCGCGCTGCTGAACGTTGCACAAAGCTAAAGGGGCCCCGTGTAGGCTCGCCAGGTCGCCGGGGCAAGTGCAGTTAGCGAGTGTCGCGCCTGGCATGAAGGGCGAGATCACGAGACACGATGGTGGCGAGAGTTACACATCGCGGCACTCACTTGAGGCTGAGCCGACGTAGGGGGGGGGGGAGGCCCAGGACCGGTGTTGGTCGTGAGCGGGAATCGAACTCGGGTCCGTCGGGGTTCGTAGCGCAGCGCGCTAACCGCTGCGCCACCGCTCTCTCTGTGCTTGTCCACTAACGCCACAATCTCAGACTGTTGGGGCAAGTGCTGTGAGCGAGCATCTGTCAAGGCCGGCACGGCACACGAGGGGGTGGGTGGCCACACATACACACGTGTACAACACACACACACGTGTAATTTCCCTCCCCCAGGACCTCACAGAAATGCTCAGCAAATCTGCAAACCTGTTCCTGGGGGTCGGAGATTGGATCACCGTTTTTTCCTCTAATGATGGTAATAGGTGTGGCGCTGCAGGTTACTTTTTTGATGGAGCTAACAAGTGATTTGTGATCGCGGGCCACTGAGGCAGACTCCATCTCCTCAGCAACCCGCGACCACCACCCATCCTTGCAGCGCCTTACGGCTCTCCGAACTTCCGAGCGAAGGCTGCGGTAAGCCTCCTCAATCTCTGACGTGGGATGCTGTAGGCGATGCGAGTGGGCCTGTCGCTTTTTCTCAATTAACCTGAACACCTTCTCTGTCAGCCAGGGTCTCTGGGGAGGTCTGGACCGCGTACCCAAAGCAGCCATTGCAGCTGCATGAGTCACAGTCTTAAACCTCGCCCATTTACCCTCGACATCAGGTGGAGTGGGGGACGATGCCAACCCCAGCTGCAAGCGATGATGAAATTCTCGCTTGCAACTTTCATCAGCTGAGACCAGGCCACTTTTGGTTGGAATGGGATCCTGGGTGTACACCCACCACCGGAGTGGTACACACACACACACACGCGTGTACACACACACACACGTACACACACACGTGCACGCACACACACACGTGTAACACACACACGTGTACAACACACGCACACGCACGTACCACACGTGCACACACACGTGCACACACACACACGTACACACAAACGCGCACAATAGTTGCGAACCGCCGACTTTCGCGTTGTACACAAACGCACGTGTCGCGCCTTTCATTTAAAATCGCGCTCCTCCGCCCCCCCCACCCTTTCCTCGTCGCCACCCGTAGCCGGTCTCTCACCGACCCAGCATCGTTTTTGAACGCGGCGGCGCGCACGTGTTGAGCAAGGTGATGGGGTCAGGGGGTGGGGGGCACTGGGGGGGGGGGGGGGGCAATGGGCAACAGGGGGGGGCAGTGGGTTGGGGGGGGCAATGGGGGTGGTGTGGGATCAATGGGTGGGGGTGATTGGAGGGGCACTGGGGGGTTGGGGGGGGCAATGGGTGGGGGTGATTGGAGGGGCACTGGGGGGTTGGGGGGGGCAATGGGTGGGGGTGATTGGAGGGGCACTGGGGGGTGGGGGGGCAATGGGTGGGGGTGATTGGAGGGGCACTGGGGGGTGGGGGGCAATGGGTGGGGGTGGTTGGAGGGGCACTGGGGGTTGGGGGGGGGCAATGGGTGGGGGTGATTGGAGGGGCACTGGGGGGTGGGGGGCAATGGGTGGGGGTGGTTGGAGGGGCACTGGGGGTTGGGGGGGGCAATGGGTGGGGGTGGTTGGAGGGGCACTGGGGGTTGGGGGGGGCAATGGGTGGGGGTGATTGGAGGGGCACTGGGGGTTGGGGGGGGCAATGGGTGGGGGTGGTTGGAGGGGCACTGGGGGTTGGGGGGGGCAATGGGTGGGGGTGATTGGAGGGGCACTGGGGGGTGGGGGGCAATGGGTGGGGGTGGTTGGAGGGGCACTGGGGGTTGGGGGGGGGCAATGGGTGGGGGTGATTGGAGGGGCACTGGGGGTTGGGGGGGGCAATGGGTGGGGGTGATTGGAGGGGCACTGGGGGTGGGGGGCAATGGGTGGGGGTGGTTGGAGGGGCACTGGGGGGTGGGGGGGGCAATGGGTGGGGGTGATTGGAGGGGCACTGGGGGGTTGGGGGGGGCAATGGGTGGGGGTGGTTGGAGGGGCACTGGGGGGGTTGGGGGGGGCAATGGGTGGGGGTGGTTGGAGGGGCACTGGGGGGTTGGGGGGGGCAATGGGTGGGGGTGATTGGAGGGGCACTGGGGGGTTGGGGGGGGCAATGGGTGGGGGTGATTGGAGGGGCACTGGGGGGTTGGGGGGCAATGGGTGGGGGTGGTTGGAGGGGCACTGGGGGTTGGGGGGGGCAATGGGTGGGGGTGATTGGAGGGGCACTGGGGGTGGGGGGCAATGGGTGGGGGTGATTGGAGGGGCACTGGGGGGTTGGGGGGGGCAATGGGTGGGGGTGATTGGAGGGGCACTGGGGGGTTGGGGGGGGGCAATGGGTGGGGGTGATTGGAGGGGCACTGGGGGGTTGGGGGGGGCAATGGGTGGGGGTGATTGGAGGGGCACTGGGGGGTTGGGGGGCAATGGGTGGGGGTGGTTGGAGGGGCACTGGGGGTTGGGGGGGCAATGGGTGGGGGTGATTGGAGGGGCACTGGGGGTGGGGGGCAATGGGTGGGGGTGATTGGAGGGGCACTGGGGGGTGGGGGGGGGGGCAATGGGTGGGGGTGATTGGAGGGGCACTGGGGGGTTGGGGGGGGCAATGGGTGGGGGTGATTGGAGGGGCACTGGGGGGTTGGGGGGGGCAATGGGTGGGGGTGATTGGAGGGGCACTGGGGGGTTGGGGGGGGGGCAATGGGTGGGGGTGGTTGGAGGGGCACTGGGGGGTGGGGGGGGGCAATGGGTGGGGGTGATTGGAGGGGCACTGGGGGTTGGGGGGGGCAATGGGTGGGGGTGATTGGAGGGGCACTGGGGGGTTGGGGGGGCAATGGGTGGGGGTGATTGGAGGGGCACTGGGGGGTTGGGGGGGGCAATGGGTGGGGGTGGTTGGAGGGGCACTGGGGGGTGGGGGGGGGCAATGGGTGGGGGTTGTTGGAGGGGCACTGGGGGGTTGGGGGGGGCAATGGGTGGGGGTGGTTGGAGGGGCACTGGGGGTGGGGGGGCAATGGGTGGGGGTGGTTGGAGGGGCACTGGGGGTGGGGGGTGGTTGGAGGGGCACTGGGGGGTTGGGGTGGGACAATGGGTGGGGGTGGTTGGAGGAGCACTGGGGGGTGGGGGGGCAATGGGTGGGGGTGGGGGGCAATGGGTGGGGGTGTGTGGCGGGGCACTGTGGGGGAGGGGCACTGGGGGGGTGGGGGAGGGGCACTGGGGGGGTGGGGGAGGGGCACTGGGGGTGGGGCACTGGGGGGGGGAGGGGCACTGGGGGGGTGGGGGGGTGGAGGAGGGGTACTGGGGGAGGGGCACTGGGGGGGGGAGGGGCACTGGGGGGGGGGTGGGGGGGTGGGGGAGGGGTACTGGGGGAGGGGCACTGGGGGGAGGGGCACTGGGGGGGGGGAGGGGTACTGGGGGGGTGGGGGAGGGGCACTGGGGGGAGGGGGCACTGGGGGGGTGGGGGAGGGGCACTGGGGGGGGGAGGGCCACTGGGGGGTGGGGGAGGGGTACTGGGGGAGGGGCACTGGGGGAGGGGCACTGGGGGGGGGGGCACTGGGGGGGTGGGGAGGGGCACTGGGGGGGAGGGGCACTGGGGGGGTGGGGGAGGGGCACTGGGGGGGGGAGGGCCACTGGGGGGTGGGGGAGGGGTACTGGGGGAGGGGCACTGGGGGAGGGGCACTGGGGGGGGGGCACTGGGGGGGTGGGGGAGGGGCACTGGGGGGGGAGGGGCACTGGGGGGTGGGGGAGGGGCACTGTGTGGTGGGGGGGGCAATGGGTGGGGGTGGGGCACTGGGGGCTGGGCAATAAGTGGGGTGTGGTAGTGGTGGAGGGCAGTGCGGGAAGAGCGATGCGAATGAATGAATGGTGTTCGATGCGCTCTGGTTCTTTCGGTAAAGTCGCGTAGATAGAAGAAGAAGAACTAATAAAGGCAGCACGACGTTTCGGTCACAACACAAGTGTCCTATTGAAGGGTGTTCGAGTTGAGGATCGTTGGGGTTCATTGTTGCGTGACCAGGCGAGAGGAGAAGTCGGGGACCAGGTGAGAGGGGTCTCGTTTGTTCTGCAGGTGAAGTGACGATTCTGCAGTGGAGTGCAGTAATCACCGGTGAGTAATCTACATGGCAGACGGATTTACATTTGATTTGGCATTTTCGTGACTGCAGGAATTACTCTTTGGTTCTTTCGGTAAAGTCACGTAGAAGGGAAATCATAAAATAATAAAACTATAATAAAATTCTCACAAAGAGAATTTTATTTTATTATGTTTTATTATAATAAAATTCTCACAGAGAATTGTATTTTATTACGTTTTATTTTTATTATAATAAAATTCTCACGAAGAGAATTTTATTTTATTATGTTTTATTTTTATTATAATACAATTCTCACAAAGATAATTTTATTATGTTTTATTTTTATTATAATAAAATTCTCACAAAGATAATTTATTTTATTATGTTTTATTTTTATTATTTTATTCTTTCCCTTCTACGTGACTTTACCGCAAGAACCAAGAAGATCAATAATCAACTTGTTGCTATAAATCAACAACGCGTGTAGTAACACGTTGCTGCGTCCTCTTCCTTCTCAACAACAAAAAAAGGGCGAGAGCGAAAAAGGCGGTGCCGTCTATCCATCTGTCTGACGACAAACAAACATTGTTTTGAAATTCTTCCACACGCTCACCTGCATCGCACATTGCAACAACGCAGACGCTCGGGGGGCCGCATCGATAACGCCGGAGTCGTCGTCGGAGCAAGTGCGGGACACGGGGCGTTGGCCAGGTTCTCATCGTCTAAGATTCAGGTGTTTAACACTGGTCTAATGTTCAGGTATTTAAACTACGATCTAAGAT